GTAGTAGAAGCTAAAGTCTAGGATTGTGATGCCTCCCGCTTTGGTTTTCTTTTTCAATATTACTTTGGCTATTTGAGGTCTTTTGTGGTTCCATACAAATTTTAGGATTGTTTGTTCTAGCTTGGAGAAGAATGCTGGTGCAATTTTGATTGGGATTGCATTGAATGTGTAGATTGCTTTGGGTAGTATTGACATTTTAACAATATTTATTCTTCCAATCTGTGAGCATGGAATGTTTTTCTGTTTCTTTGTGTCTTCTTCAATTTCCTTCATAAGTTTTCTATAGTTTTCAGCATACAGATCTTTTATATCTTTGGTTAGGCTTATTCCTAGGTATTTTAAGGTTCTTGGTGCAATTATAAATGGGATCAATTTCTTGATTTCTCTTTCTTTTGCTTCATTATTGATGTATAGAAATGCAACCGATTTCTGTACCTTGATTTTGTACCCTGCGACTTTGCTGAATTCTTGTATCAGTTCTAACAGACTTTCGGTGGAATCTTTCGGGTTTTCTGTGTAGAGTATCACGTCTTCTGCAAAAAGTGAAAGTTTAACTTCTTGGCCAATTTTGATGCCTTTATTTCACTTTGTTGTCTGATTGCTGATGCTAGGACTTCCAACATTATGTTAAACAACAGCGGTGAGAGTGGAAATCCCTGTTGTGTTCCTGATCTCGGGGAAACTTGTCAGTTTTTCCCCATTGAGGATGATATTAGCTATGGGCTCTTCATATATGACTTTTATGATGTTTAGGTATGTTCCTTCTATCCCAACTTTCTTGAGGGTTTTTATTAAGAAGGGATGCTGTATTTTGTCAAATGCTTTTTCTACATCTATTGACGGGATCATATCCTGTCATATGATCTTTTGATCATATGATCATATGATCTTTTAACTTTGTTAAAGTATATTTATAACTTCAGCCTCACATTGATGTATCACATTGATTGGTTTGCAAATATCAACCCAGCCCTACAGCCCAGGAATGAATCCCACTTGATCATGGTGAATAATTATTTTAATATGTTGTTGAATTCAGTTTGCTAGTATCTTGTTGAGAATTTTTGCATCCATGTTCATCAGGGATCTTGACCTGTAATTCTCTTTTTTTTTGTGGGGTCTCTGTGTGGTTTGGGAATCAAGGTAATGCTGGCTTCATAGAATAAGTCAGGAAGTTTTCCTTCCATTTCTCTTTTTTGGAACAGCTTGAGAAGGATAGGTATTAACTCTGCTTTAAATGTCTGGTAGAATTCCCCTGGGAAGCCATCCAGTCTAGGACTCTTGTTTGTTGGGAGATTTTTGGTAACTGATTCAATTTCTTCACTAGTGATAGGTCTGTTTAAATTTTCTGTTTCTTCCCTTTTGAGTTTTGATAGTGTGTACATGTCTAGGAAAGTGTCCATTTCTTGCAGGTTGTCCTGTTTTTTGGCATGTAATTTTTCATAGTATTCTCTGATAATTGCTTGTATTTCTGAGGGACGGTTGTAATAATTCCATGTTCATTCATGATTTTGTCTATTTGGGTCCTCTGTCTTTTCTTTTTGAGAAGTCTGGCTAGGGGGTTATCAGTTTTGTTTATTTTTTTTGAAAAACCAGCTCTTTGTTTCATTGATCTGTATGGGGTTTTTTGGTGTTTTTTTTTTTATTCAATTTCTTCTTTAATTGCCTGTTGACTCATTCATTCTTTAGTAAGATGTTCTTTAACCTCCATGTATTTGGAGGTCTCCCAAACTTTTTCCTGTGGTTGATTTCAAGTTTCATAGCATTGTGATCTGAAAATGTGCATGGTATCATCTCAGTATATACACACATTCACAGACATACACACAGAGACGTATACATATGAAGATATATATATATATATACACACACACACATATACACACTGCATATGCATATACATATGATTATATATACATACACATACATAAGTGTAGAATTGCTTTGCTTTAAAATGTTCATACTGTGTTTGTTAGCTTAAAACATGCTTTTCTCATTCATTAATCCATGTCTTCAGCTTTTCCTATTAAAATAAGTAGATTTTTACCCATTTTAATATCTACATAATTTTTGTAGAATGACTGTACCAATATTTATTTACCTTTTGTTGTTGTATTGATAAGAAGCTTGTTTCCAATTTTTCTTCATTCCAAACTATACTGTAGTGAACATCTTTCTGCATGTACTCTCTCCCAAGTACATATTAAGTTTTGGAGTACCCGTAAAGTATGAAAAGATGATTATGAGGGAGAGCCTGGGGAGAAGGAAAAAAAAGAGAAGATGATAATCAAGTTTCCTTCCGTATAATTATATCTCCTATTAAGATATAGAAGTACTTAGATTTTGTTTCTGCCCAATTGAGCATTTAAACTGTGTTGGGGTGCCTGGGTGGCTCAGTCAGTTAAGTGTCTGACTTTGGCTCAGGTCATGATCTTGCAGGTTGTGAGTTCGAGCCCTGCATTGGGCTCTGTGCTGACTGACAGCTGAGAGCCTGGACCTGCTTCAGATTCTATGTCTCCTTTTCTCTCTGCCCTTCCCCCCCCCCCCCCATTCTCTCTCTGTCAAAAATAAATAAATGTTAAAAAAATTTAAACACTGTTAAAATATGTTAAACTTTGTTAAAGTATATTTATAACTTCAGCCTTACTCAGGATAAAGTTAGAGAATTCTTTTCACTGGTTTTGAAAATAATTTGAGGTTTATATGTAAAAACATTTCTTCTATCATGTTAAATGAACTGGCAAATAGTGATGTGAATCTGATTGTTTTCCATGTAATTACCATTTCATAGAAGGATGTTATTTAAAGTGGTGATGTTGGAGGTTGTGCAGTAACTTTCAGCAGTCAAATTCATAGTTAAAGGGATTTTTTATATATTTTACAATGCACATGTTTGTGATTCACTGATGCTATATCTAAGATTAGTTTCTAGAAGTGGAATTACCGCTTGTACCGCTTGTTGAAAAGATGGTCTTTTCCCTATTGAATAGTCTTGGCACCCTTGTTGAAAATAATTTGATCATTTATGTGAAGGTTTATTTCTGGACTTTTATTCTGTTCCATTGGTCTGTACATTTGTATTTATGCCAGTACCAAACTGTTTTGAATACTGTAGCTTCATAGTAAGTTTTGAAATGAGGAAGTGTGAGTCCTCCAGCTTTATTCTTTTTCATGATTATTTTGGCAGTTCAGGTTCCTTGAGATTCCACATGAATTTTAGAATGGGTTTTTGTCTTTCTGCAAAAAAATGTCATTGGGATTTTGACAGAGATTGTAAATTGCTTTGGGTAATATTGACATCTTAATAATACTAAGTCTTCCGATCTATAAACACAGGATGTGTTTCCATTTTTTTTCTGTCATCTTTAATTTCTTTCAGCAGTATTTTATAGTTTTCATTGTACAAGTAAAGTTTATTCCCAAGTATTTTATTCTTTTTGATGCTATTGTAAATGGAACTGTTTTTGTAATTTTCTTTTTAGATTATATATAGAAACGCAACTGAATTTTGTGTTGACTTTGTATCCAGCTACTTTGCTGAATTCATTAGCTCTAACAGCTTTTTTGCTGAGTCTTTAGGGTTTCCTACATATAACATTATATCATCTGCAGACAGAGATCATTTTACTTCTTCCTTTCCAATTTGGGTGCCTTTTATTTTTTTTTTCTTGCCTAATTGCTCTGGGTGCAACTTCCAGTACTGTGATGAATTGAGGTGGTAAATTTGACCTAAATTAATCACAGTTTACCATCCCATGTTTTCCCCTGGTAGTTGCAAGCCTTCAACAGATTGCAGAGTTCCAGAATAGTTACATCAGACAGTTTCTGCATGTGTAATTGTTGTCTAAGTGGAAAGACAAATTCTTTGTGCTTCCTATTCACCCATCTTCCCAGAATCTGAATTATTTTTAATCAAATAATTTTATTAAAATTTGGAATGACTTTAAAATGGAGGCCTGTTTCTCTCAGACTTTCTGCATTAAACCATACAGTACACTTTTCATACAGTTAAATATTATTGAGTATTTGGTTAGTTATGAAACCATGATTCAAATTGAACTCACTTTGCCTTTCAGGGCTTTTTCATATTTAATAATTTTTCTTACAGAAATACCGGTATCAGGATGAAGATACACCTCCTCAAGAGCACATATCCCCACAAATCACTAATGAGGTGATAGGTCCGGAATTAGTTCATGTCTCAGAGAAGAACCTGTCAGAAATTGAGAATGTCCATGGATTTGTTTCCCATTCTCATATTTCACCAATAAAGGTAAGATGATGACTTTATTTTGTTGCTATGAATTATATATTACTTTTGTTACTTGTATAGCTAATGCTCAGAAAGAACTATTCTTTTATGTAGAATTTTTACCTCTTATTTCTGGTTTCTTAGTTATAAGAATTTTATAATATTTATTAGCATTCTAAAAACACTTTTAAAGATACATTTTATTAAAAGAATTTCAGTGATTCTAAGCCTAAAAATTCCCACAAAGGAAATAACTTGTTTCAAATATTACACATTGGAATATTTTAAAAATTTGTTTTAAATGTTAGTACTTATAGACAAAGAGCATTAATACTGGCATTAACTCCCCTCAGAAATAACCACAATCCTGGTTTCTTATAGAGCTCTACCACATATTTAGATTTCTAATCAATATATTGTTTATTTTGCCAATCTTAAATTTTATATAAGTAGCGTATACTGTATATAATCTCAACTTGACTTCTTTTGCTCAATATTATATTCCTAAGATTATTTTTACTGCTCTAGAGTTTTCTTTTATTAACATGCTATAAAAAACATAGGTTATGTATAAATATCTTCGTGGGTAACACCAGATTATTTTCCAAGTGGTTGTATACTTTACCTTTTCAGCAGCAATATTTGAGTTTTAAATGATCCATATTCTCATCAGTGCGTGGTGTTACTATTTTTGCCATATTTTGGGCTTGGAATAGTATCTCATTGTGACTTTAATGTTCATTTCCCTGTTTGATAATAAGGTTGAAAATATCGGTCATTTAGGTTTTCTCTTCTGTGATACATAAACTCTCAAGATTTTTGCTTATTTATATGGTCTTGGGTTGTCCTTTTTACTGATTTGTATAAGTTCTTTATATATTCTGGCTACTAATCATTTGTTGATTTTATGTATTGTGAATAAGGATAATTTTTTTCCTAGTAAAAATCTTCTGTTTTATAATTTTCTTTGAGGGATGACTTTGTATTACTGGTTAAAAATTTTAATCGTTGTAGTATCATTTAGATTTTCTATTGATAGTTTTGCTAGGTTATTTTTTTTCTAGGAATTTATCCATTTCATATTTATTTCAAAATATTATTAATATCCTGTGAGGTTTTTTTTTGTCTATAGCATATTTAAGTGTGGCCCCTTTTTCATTCCTAATAATTATTTGTGCCTTGTTTTGTTTTTTTCCCCCTTGATCATTCTTGCCAAAAGATGGTCTTGTCAAAGATTCATCTCTTTTTAAAAAATCTTGTGTTCTTGGGGCACCTGGGTGGCTCATCGGTTAAGTCTCTGACTTCAGCTCAGGTCATGGTCTCACAGTTTGTGCATTCTAGCCCGACATTGGGCTCCTGTGCTGAGAGCTGCTTCAGATTCTGTGTCTCCTTCTCTCTCTCTCTCTGCCCCTCCCCCACCTCTTAAAAATAAAATAAACATTAAAATCTTTTTAAATCTTGTATTCTTCCCCCATGTGCTGCTATCCCCACCCTCCTTGTTTTCACACACACATATACCTACATAATACACACGTTCATGTACATCTATAAATATAAATGTGTGGATAGCCTGCATATAAATTACAGATTTTGTTTGGTAAGGAGCAGTCTGATCTTCCCTTGGGAGACTAAATGAGAGATACAAAGAAAAAATCGATTGGCTATTAGTGACATAGACAATTCTCCTTTTACCTTTTCCCCTTTCTCCTCTTACCATGATTATTTTTTTCTCTTCTGCTTTCTTTGGGTTTATTTTTTTCTCCCTAGTTTCTTAAGTTGGTTGCTTATTGTTAATAGTATCAGTATTTGAGTTTGTAATTTTTCCTTTAAATATCACTTTCGCTGTATCCCACAAGTTTTAACATGTAATTTTTTTTTATTCTAACATTTCCTTTATTTATTTATTTATTTATTTATTTATTTATTTACTTACTTACTTACTTACTTACTTACTTACTTATTTTTGCCCCATGAATTATTTAGAGGTATGTTGCTTAATTTTTAAACATACTGATACAGTCAGGGTGGTCCAAAAATCCAGAAGGGGGTTCCTGCAGGACCAGCCAAAAGGGTACTTGACTTTGTGCAGGATAAAAATCAAACAGGAGCTGGAGAAAGTGAAAGCAGAGTTTACTGAGTAGCATAAGTGACAGGTAAAGAATAGTAGATGGAATGTCTGTGAGACTCCGAAAGGAAAGGAGAATGAGTGTCTTTGTTGCTTGGGGCCTGGGGTTTATATTGTAAAGGGGTCCAGGATATGTGTTCCTTCAGGAATCCAGCAGAGGGTCTAATCAGAGGCAAATAGGTGTTGTTTTATAAATCATCAAAGGTAGAGGGTATTGATGCTAGCTAGTGTCAGCCAAGGCTTTAAAAGCTAACATCCTGGAACATGTTTGGGATCTGACTCTTCTTAGGTGTTATCAGGTGTTTGGGAGGCCTAGGACAAAACCCAGAGAATGGTGAACTTTCTTGTTTCCTCCTTGGAGTGGGAACTTAGTGTCTCTGGTTTTTACTCAGGTGCAAAATATCGAACACGAGTAAATGGGGGCTCCAGTAGAAAAACAGCAGAAATAGAACCTTTCTAAAATGTAGTTCCTTCAGCTTCTCTATCTCAATAGGAGGCATTTGTTCCTTTCATATCTTACATTAGGTTATATTTTCTCATGTCCAATTTCCATTTGTTTCTCTTCCTTTAATGGTTATCCTAGAAATTTTAATACACATTTTTAACTTACAAAAATCTCAAGTCAAGAAATCTCTTCTATCCTCATTCTGAATAACATAACTTTAGAACACTTGAATTGGAAGCACTGTGTCCTGCTTTATATGCTGTTCTTGTCAGTCTGTGCGTAGTTTCTGTTGCCTGAATTAATATAACCTATTACTTTAGTCAAAAAATTCTCCCAGGTAGGTGTAATTTTTTGTTTCTGATATTTTGAATATCTGGTCATTCTGATTGTTATAAACTATGCAAAGCCAGTTTGCACACACTCAACTCCTCAGTCTTGGTAGGTGTTTTGGTAGTTACTTCTGTATATATGCAGATTCTGATAGAGGCATGGGCAGTGAGCGTCCCACCCCCTTTTTAAAAGTTAAATATAAACAAACTGATGAACATTAAAGAATACGTGGAAAGCCCTCACATTTGACCCTGGGCATTGCTAAACTAAATATAAGATTGAGTGCACCTATAGCTAGTAGAGGATCTAGCAGAAGTGAACTTTCTCATTGACATTGTGTAAATTTTTGAAAACTTTTAAATAAAGTTGATTATATGATTTTGGAAAAATATCACCTGCTAGAATATTAGTTTTGATTATTAAATAATACACGTTTAGCATTTATTAAACATCTATGCTAGTAACTGTTAGATTTCAGTGATTAGTATTTTTTATAGAGAGATATAACAATATATAACATGAGAAAATAAAGAGAAAAACTAAATTTTTGGAGGTGTCTGAAAAAAGAAAATTGACTTTTGGATAAAGTGTTGAAGGGTGTGCACAAGATGCCAATTCAGAGGAGAAGGCAGTTACTGGGGAAAATAAGTATAGTAGCAGGGTGATAATCAGGGTAAAAATACAGGAAGGTTCATGATACTGTAGCTTAGGGAACTTATTCGGAAATGAGTGTAAGGTGTGAAGGGCCTCAATCCTGAGCTGATGAGTGGCCTTATGAGGGGTTTGCCACCATAAAATGTGCTATGAAATAATCTATTAGGTTCTTGCAGTGCTGGTGCTGATTCGTATTACTGAAATAATGAATGAAATAAGATAGTGATTGAAAGTTACTTTATTCAGGCCTTATTTAACCTGAAGGTGATTATGATTTAAGACTCTGAAAGGGAAACTTTCTTGCCAGTCCTGGGCAGTATGAAGGAAGAAATTGTCAGTATAATGGTGAAAATGGAAGAAAAAGACATAGTGGATAAGTTTTTGTGGTGTATAAGAATCTTTTTAAAAAGCTTACATTTTAAACAGTTATAAATATAATAGTATATTATAATAAGAACAGTGTCAAGATTCCTAAAACAGAAAATGAGCTGAGAATTAGGAAAAATGGTAAACAGTAAATTGAATAAATAAAAGTCCAGCCTGTTTCAAAATATATTTAAGTCAGGATGAAGTGACAAGGAGGGCAGTAGGTACATGGAGGCAGCTTGGTATGGGATGTTGCATTGATCATTGAGGGAATTATATTTGGCTTTGTTGTCAATGACCAGGAAACTTATGTTCAAATCAATATGTGCAAAAGTAAACATAGTTAAGCAGGACTTGAAATTGAAGATAGAACAGTGTGTTAACAGGTAATTATTTTAAATAAGTATATCTCCTAGCCTGGATACATTTCATCCAGTAGTGCTGAGAACAGTATCAAATGAAATCACTAGCAGTAGTTGGTAGTTTTTCAAATGTGAGAAGTGAGGGTAACAGAAAAGATAGTCATAAGCAAATATATGCCTATTAAACTAGTACAGGAATAGAATCTTTCCCATTTTGAGTATATTATGCATACCTTTTGAAATGAGTTTTGTTTTCACATCTCTGGAATATATTAAAATGTTGTTGAATTTTATCTTCTCTTTTTTGGATGGCCCTGATGTATTAAGGTAAGCTTATGGTTTGCATACAGTTTGACCACAAGATGGTGCTCAGACAGAAGGTATTGGTATATGATCAGAGTTTTTCTAAGCAAATAACCCATCTGTGTCATCAGTCTTCTCAGCTTAATCTTGTCCTAGAAGAAAACATAGACAGTAATCTCCTTGACATAGGTCTCAGTGATGATTTTTTGAAAATGACACCATAAGCAAAAGAAACAAAAGCAAAAATAAACTAAATGGGATTACATCAAGCTAAAAAGCTTTCTGCTCAGCAAAGGAAGCCATGCCACCAAGATGAAAAGGCATACTACTGAATGGGAGAAAATAATGGCAAATCATGGATAATTAATGGATAAGGAGCCATATCCAAAATACATAAGGAACTCCTACAACTCAATAGCAAAAAAAAAAAAAATCT